ACTTTGGTGGAGAATCCCTTCAAATTCCTCCCAGCCGACTTTAACATGTGATGTTAGCTCTGAAACATGTTTTGTCTGTACAGTTGCATCGGAACCCTACACTCACAAATCCCCAAACCCGAACGAGCAAGACTCCCAAATCCCAAACCTAAACCTCAAATACGTGGCATCCTACACCCTTTTAATTGCAAAGCATTCTCATTCAATCAAGCACCACCCGAAGCAGTGCTGAAGTGTCACTTGTCCAGTGCCTTCTAAGACACTGAAACGAAATCTCAAGACTCTCACCGCATATCCTCGAAGTTCGGAAAACCCGATCAGGCCTGCTGATAAGATGACCGACAAAGAACAGCAGTCTCTCTGTTCATAAGACCCCTGTTAGCCTGCCAAGCTCGTCCATGTGCCCTAGGCGCCCTCAAAACCTCAAAACTCTAGGCCCCCGCACTCCAAAAGCTTGCATCTGAGCAGCGCAGCTTAGCCCGAAGCCCAACACCCGCAGCCCCGAGCCTGAATTCCGAGAGTCCAAGATCCTAAGCCCCATGCCCAAACGATCTGAAACCCAAAGCCTCAAACCCTAAGCCTTGAACCCCACACCCCTTGACAATCTCTTCGTGCTACGCTTTGAAAGCCCTTGATATTGAAATCGTCAATACCAAGCGTTGCAAGAACCCTGCTTTTCCCTAAACCTTGAACCCTGAAGCGCTCAATATTAAACCCCCCCCCCGGCCGTATCTAAACCTGAAGTGTCAAATCGGAAGCCCTAACCTTTGGAAGGATCCTTCCAAGAAGGTTGAACAACAAGCCCTACACTCCCACAAACACCCCCCCCCATCAACCCCCCAAGAGGCAGATTCTAGAGCCTAAACCTTACAAGAAGTAAGCACGAAGCTTGAGACCTTAAGCTCCTGAAAGACACAAACCTCAAAAACTTCAAACATCCATAACTCAACCTATAAACCCCAAACACCCTCAACCCTAAACCCAAACAGCCACACCTCAAACTATAAATCCCAAACACCCCTTAGTCCCAGCCTTTGCACCCTGAACACCCTAAGCCCTTAAGCCTAAGCCCTAAGCCCTTAACCCTAAGCCTTAAGACCCTAAACCCTA